CAAGTGAAGGGAGCAGAGTACCTAAGCTCCAGCTGGTTTTTTGCCAAGTGGCACTTCTCTGCAGGCACCATCCTCTTCCCCACGCATCTCTGCCTCTCACGCTCACCTGGCAAAGCCCTGCCCTACTGCACACCTGCACCCAAGCAGCTGAGCATTGCTGGGGAAAGGACACACCTCTGCGCCGACTGATCTCACTAGAAATCCATGGCTGTGCATTCCGGGGGGCTTTTCACACTCTTCGGGATGCGCCCCCCGTACCTTCTCCTCCCGCGTCCATGCTCTCTGCCCTCCTCACCACCCCGTCTCCTCCCGCCCCTTCTGCGAACAGCTGGTGACCTGGCCCCACGCATCATCAAGACCATACCTGCATCCTACAAGGCTGGTCTTTAGGATCTCCTCGTCCTCAGGTTCTCCTGTTGTTTGGCCAATGGGAGGGGACAGCCGGAGACTGGAGGGTGGTCACGAAATGGTAGTAGTGCCATTTCCCCACTGAAGGACACGGCTCCTGCCAGGCAGCCTTTCCTTCACTACAATCTCTCTCTCCGGGTTCCGACAGCCCCCCTTCCCCCTGAGTCTGCAGATCCAGGGCTGAGAGTGGCTGCCCTCTGTTGCTATAGCTCCGGGGTGCTCTGCCATCTCTCGTTAGTTTCCCTTAACTCTCTGCCCACAGCTTTACGTGGTTCCTTCATAAACCTCTCCTCCCTTTTCCCATCTGTTCCTCGCCCGGACCCTCACTCACACAGCACCCAAATTTGCGTCTCCAGCCCCCACCTTTTCCCACAATGCCAGAATCTCAGGTCCCGCTGGCTTTATGACATCTCCATGTGCATGTTTAGTTGTGTACTGCCTGCTTATCCTAGTCCAAATAGAATTCTTGATTTCCTACCACCTCAAACTTGCTCTTTCCCGTTTTCCCCATCTCAGTAAGATGGAGCCACCATCCCCCCAACTGCAGAAGCTCCAAATCTAGGCTCCATTTTTGATTTCTCTTCCTCCCCTCACTTCGTACATCCAGTTCATCAGTGGGTCCTACAGACTATCTAAAATATATCCTGAATCGCCCTTCCTTCTCTCCACCTCCACTCACCAATCTAGCACAAGCTATCATGTCCCACCTGAACTAGTCCGTGAATCTGTTGGCCTCCTCTCCCACCCTACTGCATCCTATCGTCCACCACGCTGATGGAAACACCTCCTAATAACACAAATCAGACTGCATCACCCCCAGCTGAAAACCACCCCGACTCCATTTTATACCAACACAACCTCTGTAAAAAGTCCTACGGAAACGAGCTCCTGCCTTTCCCTCTAACCTCATCTGGCCCACTTTCTTCCCCTAGGTTCCCTGAACATGACAAAATTGTTCCCACCGTGTCTCCTCTTCCCTTCTGATCCCTGTATGATGGATTCTTTCCCCATCACCTCCATCTCTGCTCAAATCTTTCTCCCTCAGAGCAGCCGTCACTTACCTCCGATCTAAATCAGTGGCAGCTGCACTAATCCTTTGCACCACGAATAAACAAAACTGCAGTTCTCTCCCCCTCGCCGCAGAACGTGAGCCCATGAGAGCAGCATCTTCTCCCCACTGTTCACCACTGCTTCCCTGGCACCTAGTACAGAGTGCTCTCAGAAGTGAGTGACCTACACACGTTTGATAAATGAAGAATGAGAATGCTTGGAGGCTTTCACTCCTCTTTTCCTGAAACACTGCATCTGAAAGTTTCTCTGAGCTACAACCCATTAACTTTTTCCGTTGCCTCTTTGCAGCAGAGGGTGCAAACTCAATACTAGATCATCATAATCTACTTTTCCATTTTTACAAAACTTGTTTAGTTTCCTTCAAACCTCCGATGTCCTTTCTGTGGCTTCCTGCAGTCTTCATCTATTCGAAATCCCCTAACTGACAGCATTTGCTCTTGACACATCACACACCATGGAAAATTACAGGCTGGTGTTGAGGCTGATTGTGTCAGCATGTATTTGTGAATACCATAAAGCGCTGAAATGAGACATACTGCACTCCCTAATATAGGAGGTAATTTGTTTTTTGGACTGCCTGGTATTTGTGACATTCATTAGTGAGAGATGCAATAGGAAACAGAATTACACAAATGGGACCTTCATACTATATTTGCTATCTGGGAGGGACATGTGATCGATGGTGCCGCTGTGCTCCCAGCCCCCATACATGGTGCTGAGATGCTGTTTCCAGCTTCTGTGCCTCGCAGTTTGGACGGCGGCACAACCTTCCCTCCCAGAAGACCTGGAGGGGCTTCAGTCTCATTTACCCTCACTTTCCTCTCTCAGGTGACCCCAGTTTCAGGGGTACTCCTGGAAAAGGTGAGGATCCAGGAACTAGACGAGGAGGTTTTCCTCTTCCACACCTGAATAATGGCAATCCTTCCCCAATTTCCAGAAGTAAATTTAAATCATTAGATTCCTCAAAATCTCAAGGACATGTTTTTTGCTTCTGCACCCCATGTTTTCCTAAAAGCTTTTACAACTAGTATGGCTAGTTTGTAAGAGTGGGTGAAGACGAAGAAAGTAAGTGTCAGTTATCAAATCTCATAGGTCTGTACTCAGCGTGGCAGGCTCACCTCTTGGCAAATACATAACTGAGAACATAAGCTCTGGAACGGGACTTCCTGGTTTTAAATCCTGACTTTACACTAGCAGTGTAGCTTTGGGCGAGTTAGTTAACCAACCTGTGCCTCAGTTTCCTCGCATGTAAATGGGAATAGTAATGGTAACTGTCTGAGGCTGTCGAGAGGATTAAATGAGTTCATCAGCACCTGGTACCTGGTTCGTAGAACGGTGCAGGCGCACATTGAACTCTGCATAAGAATTTGCTAGTATTATTAAGTGTGGTCGAAAATGTGGGTTTTAGAAAAGGAAAGACCAGTTCTAATGGGGCTCTGCCACTTGCTTACGTGCTGCGTGGCCTTGAACAAATCATTTGCCTCAATTTCACAGATGAGGAAACCAAAGCCTGAAAAGCTTTAGAAGACCTACCGCTCCAGGTTATTTTGAGGAGTAGCATTAAAGAACACAGACCACCTCGCACAGGCCTGGCTTTGAGGAGGAGCTCACTGAATGAAGACAATAGGCTTATATAAAAACGACAGATCTTGACAATTCATCATTTATTTACAATATTTTATGTAACACTGTTGTTGAGCTGAGTGACCTGTCTGACCATCCGAGTCACATTTTCTCCTAGTAAGTTTTTCCTAGTTCACAGGCTAGAATCAAATGTAACAATAATTGCATGGTGTTCTGCAAAAAACCCTATGATTTCCTGGGCTGCTTAGACAAGTTTGAGGATACTAATAAGACTGTCATGAAACACTGAGGCCAGTGAAATCCTGGGCTGTACCTACAGAGGCTTAAGAAGTGAACCTGACAACTTCAGCCGCTTACCTAGAAGGCCACCAATAAAAATATAGCCGGTTTAGTATTTCATCTGAAATTAATCCAAACCTTTTCAGATTCCATGTGGCATTTAAAGTAGAAAACGGTTAATTCTCGAGTAAATCTGCCTGGATAATATTAAGTAAAGAGCACTAGACAAGGGGCCGGTTATCCTATGTTGTGCTGTTCTGGGCCATCAAGAATCAGGATGATCTTGAACAATCACTTAGGCTCCCTGGGACTCACTTTCCTCCCCTGGAAAATGAAAGAGCAGGTATCTAGGGCCTCCTAGGTCTAAAATGTTATTATTCTAATTCAAAGGTGTGGAACTGATTGTGTGAAGAGGACTCCATGGAAGCATTTGAAAGCACAGTCTCTTTTTCCTAAGATTCAGCACCATGTGATGCCCACAGACATGTTAAGAAGCTTCGGGGTTAGGGCCCGGTACACACTGAAAGCATATCTCGGTGGATGGAGATACATATGTCTGAGCCAAAAACGAAGGCAAGTGAAAATAAACTCTTACCTTTTAACTTCTTTGGCATCGCTTGCGATGAAAAATCCTAAAGTACCTTCTTGGATCTTAAGGTGGTTTCCAGGATTAATTAATATACTGCTCAGTGAACAAAAACAAACAAAGAAGACATAGTTATGAGGTCGTGTTCTGAAGAAAACCTTGAAGGTTACACCATACTGTTAACTTTATAGGGGGCCCACTAGTCTAATGCTTTCCCCAGAGATTTTGTCTACAGCCTGACATCCACTGTCCCACACATTTAATTGGGTAACGCCATCATAAAGGTCTGCTGCCCAGTTCCCAGGCTGGCATACTCCCAGTTGCAGATATCAAAGCAAATCCATGTTTTAGGGCCAGGTTTGTACAATGGGATTGCCATGGGCTTCTGATTTGAAGCAAAGTTCCTAATAATATATCCTTTTGGAAACTGCTGTTGACAGTCAGTGTTGAGTGTTATTGGTCTCATAGAGCTATGGCTACACTCATTTTCCATTAGATGACAGAGCATTAATGGGACCCCTATATGCATACAGAAACATACAAATACGCACACCACATACTACTGCAGGGAATGGTACGGGACACCTGTAACCAATGCAGAAGCCAACAGAACATCTGCATGACATTGACAAGGACATGGAAGTGGATTCCATGTGCAGCCTAGGTAGAAAGAATTGGACCTACCCTAACAATGAGAAAGAAAAATGCCAGCAGTTTGAAATACTTAATGATTCCAGTCTGCTGTTTACAAAGTAGTATGGGAGTGTTTGATTAAGGTATGTGTCTAGTATATCCTCATTGGGGCCAACTGTAATTAGAAAACGAATGCAAATTATCCCTAAAAAAACTTCCCCTCTGGGGAAGTATGAACCTAAATATACCCTGTCCTATTTCAAAGTGGTATAAATAGATTAGCTGACCAAGTTGTGTTTGGACTGACAGAAGAGATAAATGTATCCTAATCTAATAAATGGATGAAACAAGCAAGTTTAATTGTCTTCAGATCAAAAGCAGAATACAGGGCTATCTTACACAGAGACTGAGATGAGGCTTTGTGCTTAAAGGACACGGAACTGAGGCATTGTAAAATGCAGCACCAGATACGACAGAGGTATTCTTTGATCTGAAAAGCTGGTGTTTAAGGTAATAGATGTTTGGAATCAGGCTAAAGGAAGTCCTCAACTGTCTAAAACAATCAAAACAGAGAATGGTATTTAACGTGTAATCTTTTACTGCTGGTAAAACCATTACCAAAAAGTGCCGTGGCCAACAGAGTGATGTGTCTGTAGCAAGACAGGAAGGACGCAGATGAACATTTGTTCTGTTCGGAGAACTCACAGCAGATCATTACTGCAAAATGTCTGTGGTCACAAGAAGTTCCATCATTACCCATAACAAGGCCTGACAGGGGGAAACCAATCCTGTGACATCGTTGCGATTAACACTAAATAATAGCAAGAGTCCATGAAGATTTGAGTGTTCTGCCCTAGAACCACAGACAACAGTGAGATTCCTCACCAGTCAGGAAGCAGCAGGCCAGGCCGTGCTAACAGCACAGCTTGCGATGGGCAGAAGCTCCATACAGGCACCGCCCAATCACCCCTACAACACCTCTTCAGAAGACCTTGGTTTAAGAGCCCTCTGACTTTTCAGGATCATGGGAGGAAAACGGTCAGAGTTTTTTCACAGTTTAGAGGGATCCCTTTTTCAAATCCAAGTAAGTGGAATGTTGTAGAAAGGCAGGATGCTGGATTTTGCACTTTCCTACCCCCTTGCCTGCATGGCAGTTCTTCTGTGCCCTGGTTCTGCAATCAGAAATTATGTCCAAATTCTAGCCCTGTCATTCAGTAGCTGTCTGACTTTGGGCAAGGTACTCAAGTCTTCCTAGAACTCAATTACCTCACCTATGAGATGGAGATGAAGATAAGCACAGTCTTTTTTCAGAGGATTAAGGGAGATGATGCACAGAAAGCTCAATGCATATTAGTGATTATTTTTATTATTTATTATTGCAAAAAAATGCCCCCCAAATGCCAAAATTATCACTTTAGCCGGCCCCATGGAATGGAACACAGGACTTCTTATCAAAATACCCTGTCTATAATGAGATAAAAAGTTACAGTGTGAAGAACTATACACTCCAGAATAATATACAGGGACATACATGAAAAGTTCTGGGTTCTTCTGGAGTTTAAAGGAACTAATTCCTTAAAGTTGGATAAGCCTACATTTTGATGTGTATTCATATAAGTGTGTAAAAAAAGCTTCTGAGTGAAAAAAAATCCTATCATGATTTTAACAATGCAATTCAAAAGAGGAAATGTGACACTCCTCAATGTCTTGGTGACATATATGCGCAAAACAAGCCTCGCACAGAACCGTTTCCCTTTTTTACATCATACGCTTCATTAATTGCACTCCAGTGATCAAGCCCATTGTGTCACGGTTCCCATCAATGGAAAGTTTCTTTTCATTTCCTTTGTTCTTTAGCAACAGTGAATAAGAATTGGCATACAGTGAGAAGTCGGGACTGTCATTCCGGAGATGGCAGGTTGAGATAATTTATTACAGCCTTCAAGCCTTGCTTTAGTCAAGTTAGTGTGGGGGAGGGGAAAGATTCTGGGCACTGATGTAGAGCAGATTTGTGTTCAAATCTCAGTTTCGCTGCCGTTAAGGGAGCAGGTGCCTGTGTCAGGCAGCCGAGCTCAGGTCCTGGCCTTGGGCATGTACCTACCGATAAACCTCACTCTCCTCATCTGTAAAATGGGGTGAATAATCACTAGCTTAAAGTGTCACTAAGAGAATTAAAGTACATACTATGTGCAGAGTGAGGGCCACATAGTAGGTTCTTAATACACTGTCACTATTACTAGTAAGCCAGGTAATTACAACAACTAAACAAGAGGTAGATAATCTCTCACAGCATCACAGCTCTCATTTTGTCTTTGGTGCTAATAAACTACCTAGGAGGCATCCCAGTGGCACTGAAAGACCTCTGTATCGACTGCAGTATCTGAAACATTTTACCTCCACGCCACATCTGGAGATGGGCTCATTTGGACTGCCTATTGGTTGCACAGTGGAGTATCTCTCTGTTCTTTAAACCTTATGGCTGATTGTTAAGGTACCGAAAGCACCTCCAAAGACATCAGTGACCGCGGGATTTCAGGATGCCCTCTAGTTCTCTTCTGGACATGGGGGAGAGGCTTTACATCATCTCTATGTAATGATGTGAGGCTGAATCATTTGCACTATACCGATCAGGCTAAGGCAGCCTTCTGGGCAGGAACTGAAAGACTGAGGTCAGCTCTCGAGAACAGTGAAGGAAAGACATCTAGATACATAAGGAAGCTTGTTGTGCTGGATTCCACTCACAGATTTAAGGGTTTAGTAAAGAAGCAGGTGCCCCTGATTTCAGGGGACCTTTGCATATAATACTTCCTGTGTAAGGGTACTAAGTTTCAAAGTCTCTCTGAGGAAATATGTTACTCTTTTTGATATTTGAGACATTGAGTCTTCTATCCACATTCCAAATCTAGAAAGTTTAAATAGAGTAAATCCTCCTCTCTTTCAAAATATAAAAAGATAAGGATCCTAGACAGAAGTAACTTTTATTCCTGCCAAATGCCTGCTACTCTTAGAATACGTTATTGACCTTCTAATGGGAATATGTAAATCTTGCCAAAGATCTTTGATCTCAAAAGACTATCCAATGTTAAGTTTGTTTGGCTCCTACGGCTGCCAAAAGTCTCCCTCCTTGTGCCTCACTTTAAATCAGGCTTTTGCTCCAATTTTGTCTAATTCACTAGCTTATCAGAGATAAACTTCAAGATGTGTCATGTAAAGAATCAAGAAAATCTCTAAGAAAAAAGTCCATATATCAATTAGCAGAATTCCAATGGGGACATCTTCTTGGCAGGGGTGGACTTTCTCTCAGTTCAAGGAACTATAAATTATCCTCTTTCTTTAATGACCTTGTTAATTTCAACTGAAAACAGTCGGTAACAGCTGGAGGCACAGGATTCTTGCTCTCTCGCTCTCTCTTTTTATCCTTTGCTCTCAAACTAGTTATGTATCTAGACTTATTCTTTGGCCCCTTATCTACTCTATGAAGCAAAGATGTATTTTCTGTAGGGAACCCACAGTTAAGTAAAAGAGTGAAAAACATAATCCTCTTTTATTTACTTTTGTAAACAAGTTTCTCATAGAAGCCAGTTTAGAGCCCTGAGTGCAATAGGCACGTTTCAACTACCTGTTGAACGAATGAAAACCATAAGCAGTGGTCTCAGTTCCAAAAGTGTCTTCTTTCCCTCTCTAATAAAGAGAAACGTAGTCACAGCTGTTCTTTCAAAGGGCAAGCTGCAACTCTTACCAGTCGGGCCTATCAAAGGAGTGACCACATCTCTTGTAGGGGGTTGGCAAATGAGCTAAGAACCTCCCAGGTGCATTAAGTATAAATATGTAGATATACAGAGATATAAACGGCATGTCACTTGGGGAGCTGGAACAATTGATTTCAATATTGAAAACACCACTCACTTAGAAACTGAAATATCAGTTCCTAAACATGCAATACATTCACATGAAACTGCTAGCAGGGCTCAGTCTAACAGGGAAACATCCTGTCGGGTTCCTCCGGGAAGGGAGCTCCAGCTCACAAGCTCCAACTCATTTCATGGTGTCTCTCTTGCTGAACATTGGTCAGGTTGGAGATTTGGGGCTTGATGGGGCAAAATGATTTATTCCCTTTCTCCACCACTTATGCATAACAACTGGGAAACATCTAGTTATCCCTTCTTCAATCATCATAAACTTTACTTGTTTGCTGTTTCTGGAGACAACCAAGGATGAGTAATTCAACAGAAACAGATAATTTTTTAAAGGAAACTTTTATCCATTATGGATAAATATGACAGGTGCCTATTTCTCTCCTCCCCACCCCCCCAACTTTGATAGGTGTAGCGTACCATTCCCTGAGCAATTACAAAAATATCACTCACATGAGAAGATAGTTTGTACTTGCTAACATGGTAATTATATCTGTGTCTAGCAAGCTACTGGGACTTCATTTACTAGAACAAGAAGATAAGAACCATCTAGAACTTCAGCTCATGCTGTGTCCAGATGAATCATGCCACTGAGAAGTGGCCTTTCTGACCACACAAGGTCATAGATGATTGCTATTGCGTGGGACTCTGTTTGACCCAATTGGTGCCCTGCAGTTTATGGGCTGTGCTAGGGCACAGCCTACAGAAACCCCAAATCTCACATCTTATTGCCTTTCTGACACTTTTCATTTCATTACTTCTATGCTTTAAAATATATTCTGCTGGAGTCCCACACAACTAGACACACGCACTTTTCTTACAGAATATATGTAAGAGCACAGTGTGTAGTCTATGCTTCACACTTTGAGCCCAATTCACTGACACAGAGACAGCATAATAAAGATTGCTCCCAGTTGGTCACACTCAAATGACTGCCACTGTGGTCTGCCAATGACAGGGGCAAGGACTTGTTTAGCCTGAATCCATCTCAGTCATTTTAGAAATGGCATTTTTAAATCTATTTTGCACATAAGGAAAAGAGTAGCCATATGCGATGGGGAAGAGAGTTCATTTGGGAAGGACCATGCTGGATATTTGGTTCTGGGAGCAAGCCATGTCACTTTCTGATACGCTTCAGGACAAGTCATGCCTACATCACAACATGCCTCACCACAAGATAAAAGCACTCAAAGACCAAAAGCCAACAGCAGAGGTGCAACCACTGTGGACCTTTGAAGATGCAAAGTGTTGCAGTAACTTCTCGCAGTTGGATCATATCGATAATACCAAACTGACAGGAAGCCACCTCTACTCAAGAAAATCACAGAAGAATCTGACTTCGGAAAGAGTTCCAGACAAATACACACACACACACACACACACACACACACACACACACACACACACAATTACAAACACAAACACATGACAGTGATTACAATCACAGAGCAAAACAACTCTAGAAAAGATGAACGAGTAGGCATCTCAATAGTATGTTTTCGACACTACTGTCTTCGAGAAAACGACATTGGAAATATTAACCCAAAACGTTGAAAAAAAAAATCTATCGATGAGGATTTGGTCATGCTTCATGCAACATAAAACAGCAGCAAAACAGGGTGAGGTCACATGGTGAAAGTTGAGGTACTTCATATCAAGAGAGATGCCCAAACACACTGGGAAGAAAGAAAGCCATGATGAGTTCATCTCAATAAACAGTACTCATTCAGTAAATCAAATGTGATGATCTGGAGATTCAGTAGCAGTGTTCTAAGTCTGTACTGAGTACTGGCCCAGAGGGAAAGTATGCCAAATGTTATCATCAAAATCAGCATAAGGAAAAAGAGTTAAGTGTAAGGGCTTGGTCTCTGTTTTGTGGATAAAAGGACACAAATTCAGCTCTACAAACTGGAAACCCGACACAGGGCAGAGGAGGTCACTGGGAACGTGGATGTGGTATGCAGACAAATGGCACCAAGACACATCAGGACAGGACAGAAACAGACACCAAGGGCTGGAGAGAAGCGTCCTCCTTTGTCAACTCTAATAGCATTTGTTCCCATCGGTGGTGCCATGACTGAAAACAGGATTGGGCCTCTGTTTTTGTGTAGGTTTCCTGCAAAGAAGTTAGTGCGTCATCCAAAAGAATCAACAAATCAAACAAGAAAAGCAATATGCTACTTTCAATTTTGATGGACTCTGGTTGGAGAGAGGTTTGTATATAAAAATACATATATATACACATATATGTATATACTAGACAAGGGAATGAGATTATATATACATATACACATATATGTATAATCTCTGTCTTCCTGAATTCTTGGCAAAGGGTTAGTCCTGTGGTTAGACGTGAAGACGGAGGGTGGAAGTTGGGAGGAAAGTTAACGAAGAGAGCATACCGCTTTCGGCTTCTGCAAAACGACAAGAAAAGAATTGAAAATCAAACAATTGGATAATAAATTGACTGACACCAGAAGGATAGAAGGAATAAAACCTTTGTTTCAAATTATCTGAAGGAAGTGTGTGAAAACAAAGTTTTTCAACAAAGCATGGAAACAGTATCATGGGATAACAGCAACAAAGGAGGCAGTTCACACAGGTCGGAGGCACGGGGTGGGCGTGGAAAAGAGAAGCAGGGTTCTCCGAATTTTCACACCCGATCACTTAGGAAATGGGAGAGGAAGGGAAATGGGACATTTTTAAATGAAAAACAAAATCAAATCTGTTATCTCAGAAAGGTCAGAAACTCAGTTCTTTTTAACATGGATATTGTGTGTTAAGTCCTGTGTTTTCTCAGAGGCACGATCCACATTCCCTCCAGCACACCTTTTTCCAAAAGAACCAATGTGCTTCCACACTGAGACCAAGCCACGTTTGAGGATTAAAGCTGGCAGCTGCACACAGAAAGCCAAAACCAAGCCAAACAAGTTCTTTCCTCCCTTTTCTGAAAAAGGAAATTCGAAAAAACTATCTGTATGTATAAATCTGGCTTCGTTGAAAACAACTCAGATTTGTGATTAATGGGAACATCCATCAAAGAAAAGATTGTGTCTTCAGAGAAAGCTCTGAGTTATTTTTCTTAGAATGGTGACAGTGGATTCACACCGAACCATTAACAGCCTTTCTCTCTCCCTCCTTGTGACCAAAAGGTGGCAGGTGGAAGATGGCTGGTCAAGGTTCAGGGTGCAGTCTGCTGCCATGAAATTATTTCAGAATGGTGGAGAAGCGCTATTCAGGATCACTTGCATCGTGACTTTTTTTTTTTTTTTTAAGAGATGCACAGAAGTGATAAAAAGAGAACACTGAATTACACAAAGATTTACTGACTTGACAACGTGAAGAATATCATTTGCAGAAACCCAGGATACACATTTCCCCTACACAGGTACAGGTGTGTATTGGCAACAACATGGGCAAGCCGCAATCCCAGGAACATCCACCTTATCTGTTGAACGGCAAAGAGCCAAGGACTCTTGGGTTTTTTGCAAATAATGTTTTTCACTTTGCCACCACAGAGAAGGAAAATGTACATCTGCATAAATAGTCGTTAACTGCTACAACCATGGTCTACCATGTGGCCACCAAATCTACCATTTTGGCTTCCTTTTGGTTGATTTGGATTTTCAAAATAGTTGAACATGTGATCAGATTGACGTAGTGGGCAATCTGATCTGGTGGTTAAGGTAACAGAGAACATTGGATTGACTGGCTTACAATCCAGTGTTTGTTTGGTTTTCTGTTGCTCATAGAGACACGGACTGCACATTTGGGGCTTTATTGAGTCATTCACCCGGATAATGAAAACTCCTTAAATGATGATAGCAGGAGCCTTCTAGTCTTGCCCTGCACTCGGCTCAATTATTAAGGCGTATGTTGGAGGGTATCTGCGCCCTTCCCTTGGGCACCTAAAGGAAGACTTTTTAGCATAGCTAGGAAAAAAGCATGGTTGTCCTTTCAGAGGACACAAGCCTGAGCATTTCTCAGTGAGCTCTCTTCCAAAACTATTGATAAGAACTGGGGAGCAAAAACCATCTCTCTCATGTCTGTAATGCATACGGTACTCCAACAAAGTTCCTTATTGATGCAACGTTTCCTTCTTTCAGCGCAAACTCATATATTGACTGGGGTGTTATCTATTTCGACCAGACCCAGTCCCTCATCAGTCTGACTTGCACATAATTAAGCGCAAAATAAATAAATAAAGAGAGCTCCCGCCTCCAAGCCCTGCTCTCCTGGCTAATTTACATGAAGCTGATATTCATGCCACATGGATTTCAGATGCACCGGGAGAGAAACATATGATACACAATAGGCTGCTTGTAATTTGGCTATCAAGAGAGCTGGAAACTCCCATCACGACTCTGCCCCATGCCTGCTATGAAGGAGACCAGAGTCCACCTGTTTTTTGATCACAGCAGTAAAAATGGGTTTAAGGACAGGGTCTGTCCCTGGTTTTATACTTAGAGGGTGAAAAGTGTAAGTTGGCATGATCAGTTAGAGATCTGGATGCCTCATCCCTTTGCCCCGGAAAAATACTCTTTGGGTGCCCAGTGGGGCTTGGGATGCCAGGAGTGCCTGGGATAGAAGCGGCAATGTCTACCTGAACACACCTTGAAATGTGCCTTCGAGTCAGAGAGGTGTTGCATTAGGCTTCCAAACAAATAAATAACGCGTAAGAAAGAAGTGGACCGAACGTTCCCGGGCTGCACTCTTACCATCATAAACGTCAGCCAGCCGCTGGGTCACGGCAAACTTACCGGCTCTCTCGGTTGGCAGACTTGTACTCAATAGCTATCATCAGAAGCTTGAGCTTCACAAAACACAGCCTGCAATGAGACAGAGAAACCTCGCAGTCAGTGCTTCAGAACGACCAGAGCCACAGAACAAACACTGTTACGACCTTTCCATCTCCTGACGTGGTCATTACCCAAGGGACCCCCATTCTACGGTCACTGTGCAAGAGGGAGGGGGATGTGAGCCACACCTCCCCATCCTCCCCATTAAACTTGATTTCTCACAAGTGATAAGGTGCTGAATGTTCAAAGTGCAAATTGCACTCAGGTCTGGATGTCTAGACACAGACCTGAAGCAGGGATTTGTGCCTGGGGATTTATGCTGGGCCAGATTCATTAGTTACTCGGTTGGGTAGTAAAAATGTTAACTGCAGGGGGAGGGAGATATTTGGAGCAGCTGGACCTGTTATCTGGATTCCATTTCGGTCTTTTGTACAAATGGCTCATACTGTTGTTCTGAGCAGACCCCTGTGCGCTCGGAATGATGGTAGTAATCCTCAGCCTCCGTGATGGTAATAATCCCAGCACATGACGATGGCACTGTTACTCCTGGCTCCATCCAAGCTGTCTCACCGCATCTGCCCAGCAACGAAAGCTTTCTAGGGCAGTGGGCAAAGAGCTTTCTAGGGAGTGGAAACAGCAAGTGCAAGGGCCCTTAGGTAGGAAGGAAGGAAGTCGGGGTGTTTGAGGACCAGCGTAAAGGCCAGCGAGGCTGCAGCTGAGTGTGCAAAGTCGAGAGTGACCGTGATTAGGTCAGGGAACTAGGTGGAAACAAGATCATGAAGACTTTGCCGGCTACAGCAAGGAATCTGCAGCTTATTCTAAGTGGAATGGGAATCTCTGGGTTGCTTCTAAATAGAAAAGTGACACAATCAGATGCTCTGGACCCGTGTATGTGTTGCTTGCAGGTAAGGTGCTGGTGAAGGCCTCAAGCTCTGCAATGGGAATAAGACCGATAGCTCATTCCTGCCTGGGAGGTCATGATCCCCTGTATTGCTGTAAACAGTCAGTCAGATTTCAAAGGACCACTTCCATCCAGGCGTATTTGGGCTCTCCCAGTGATTTGCAGATTTTCTGATTCCTGCCAGCAGACTCTAATGACCTGGGTTTTGTGCTGATTATGCAGTTTGCTGAAACACGAACCCACATACCCAACTACAGCTGGAAAAATGCTCTTCTTAATTTATGTTCCATAGAGCACCGCTAACACATAGCCTTTACGGGGCTGTTACCTCTGGAGCTTAAATTGTTTAAAATATCAGGTGGCTTATGCAATATTTGTTGAAACAAATTACCAGACTAAGTAACCACTTTCTAATGTAAATAACAACTAAGTGCCAAACTCAAGGAGAAGGCTGATCTTAACTTAGCACTGATCATGAAGATGCTGATTTGCTGAAATCCTATGAGCAATGGCCACTCCGATTTGGGATTCTGGTGGTTCATGGGATCAAGGATCTTAATTGCTTTAATGACCTGACCCTATTGGTGAGAAGGGAAGAAACGGTTCATAGTAATGGTGGATTATGTCTTCCTAGCTACTACGATATCATTTACCACTTAGATATAAAAAGAAAGGTGCTTCCTAACTCAGAAAAGTCAAGTAAATCTACATGGCCTTGGGCATATTCCTGACCTAGCACAGGGCGGACCAGCAGATCTGAGCCCTCTTTTGTAACTTTCAAATCAATATCTAAAATTTTTCTACATGGCCTTACAGAAGCCTCTTTTTAAGAATGCTCTGACCTAAAACAAGCCTTTGTTCACTGGCCAAAGGGACTAAGAAGAGAGGGACAGAGTGATGTAAACAAAGTGATCACAGGCAGACCTTGGAGATATTGTGGGTTTGGTCCAGGCCACCACAATAAAGCAATTATCACAAGAAAGCAAGTAAGGTGAAGTTTTTGGTTTCCCAGTGTATACAAAAGTTATGTTTACACTATAGCCTATTAGTGTGCAATAGTATTATGTCGGAAAACATCAATGAACACACCTTAATTAAAAAATACTCTGTTGCCAAAAAAACCCCCAAACAATTACAATAGTAACATCAAAGATCACTGATCACAGATCACCATAACAAATACAGTAATCATGAAAAAGTTTGAAATATTGTGAGAATTACCAAAATGTGACACAGAGACATGAAGTGAGTAAATACTGTTGGAAAAATGGCATTGACAGTCTTGCTCGAACAGGGTTGCCACAAACGTTCAATTTGTAAAAAAAAAAAAAAAAAAAAAAAAAAAAAAAAAAAAAAAAAAAAAAAAAAAAAAAAAAAAAAAAAAAAAAAAAAAATGCAGTATCTGCAAAGTGCAATAAAGCCAAGGGTAATAAAAAGAGGTATGCCTGTACATGCAAACAGTGTCACAACCATAGATTTTCAGACTCAGGCACTTCAAGACTGGCTGGTCCTGCCCTTCTCGTACAGATGTAACAAACTGAGGTCCAAAGAAGGAAAAGCGACTTGTTCAAGGTTAAATGGCCTTTATGGAGAAAAGCCAAAAGTGGAAATCAAACAACTTGTTCAAGGTTAAACAATTTTCATGTAGAAATGTCAAAAGTGGAAATCAAGTCTCTAGGCAGTATGCTACACAGATGCTTCTTATAAAAGCAAAGGAAATGAAGTGGTTGCCAGAAACCCAACATGCAGACATGTTCTGTTTGGTCAGTACAGCATTTAAGAAAGAAAAAAAAAAAAAAAATCTAGAATTAGGTACCAACAGGTGATTTCATATAAAAGCGAGGTTTTCAGCTTTCCTTGATAAATCAGATATGGCCATACTGGAGCCACGTTCCATATGGCTAAAAGGGACTGGACCTTCAAAGCACTTACCCCTCTGGATGGGACACGTGCTCTCCAATGTGCCACAGTCCCGACTACCCGCTACTGTCTCGGACCTCCTCATTCTAATTCTTTGTTGCTAACTGCCTGCCCGCTATGGGCATCTAAGCTATTACTCCCTACTCTAGTTCAGTAGCCTCTGGATGTCTGCAAAGTACAAATCTTGAGTAATTTACAATTTACACCGGAAACAGAACTCTCTCTCCCTGTTTAAAATCACAGGTTTTCAGGAGTTCCTGCCACAGAGAACTGGTGAAGGTCAGGGTGCTGGGCTTAAGGCTGCAGCTCAGGTACAGCCTCTGTTGTGGTTCTGGGGGGAATGGCAGATCAAGGTGAGTAAACAGGGAGTGGGTACGGTGGGGTGTGGTAATTACTTGTTTACTTGCCTCTCTGCCCTCTACACTGAGCTTTTTCAGGGCAAGAGGTATGCTTGTCTCGCTGGTAGTTTGCAAAATGCAAAGAGTAAGCTTTCAGTAAATGCTGATTAAGTAAATGTATGAAAGACTGGGGAGCAGACTCTCATGAGTTGCTAGAATTATCCACAACAGATAAAGTGGTAAACTAGGAAAGTCTAGTTTAGGCAGAGAAAGCTTGGAAGTGTGCTAGCATCGTGAAACGAGATGCTTTTTAACTTGGTGGATAGAAGCAGACAGACAGGAAAAGAAGGGCGTAGAAGGGAATAATAGCAGTGATATGCTCTGGGAATCTCATGTTTGCTTTCAATCCGCTATGACATGAAGTAAGCACAATTCTAAGATACAGACAGCGATTTCTCCTTGGAACCCTCTGCAGATCCTGTTACAAAGGATGTGCCTTTGGACTACTTAGAATTGATGTCCTGAAATTAAATATTTACTTGCATCATTTACACCGTTTTCCTGGTAAAGCAAAATGGGTTTTGCTCATCCAATCCTTAAAGTTATTCTTATGGCTTAAACATACACAGACCTGGGGTGGGAAAGAGAAAGGAGGCTTAGCATGAGGTAGAGTATAAGAGAGAAACAAGGTAGCTTCCACAATGTGATAAACAGGATGAAATCAGCCATAAGTTAGCAAGAATTTAATTCCTGGTTTCTAAATTAAAATGTCCCAGTATGTCCAATGCCAGAAGTTGCCACTTGTTGCAAAAATAATTACGGGGGAATAGAAATGACTTCTTTTTTCAAGGAAAAAAAAAAAATGTTAGATTGCTTTCTTGATAATTATTAAGTAGAGGTCTACCAAATTTGACAACATTATACAAAGCCCTCTTTTTCTTTTTTCCTTTACTGCCAGCATCATCTGTTAACCACAGTAGTTTCAACCCAAATGTTCCTGAACAAAGGCTCTTAAGAATTAGAGTCCAACTGTTTCTACCTACCCAGAGGGAAATAAATTGTTCTTGTTATTAAATCAGCCCCCTTGACTAGAACGATTGCTTGCTGGTGTGAATTAAGCATAGAAACCTGTCATAGAGTTTGCACCTTCTAATGTGTTCAGGAAGGGTATGCAAAGGTGTGGTTTGGGGCTGACTCACCTAGGAGTGAAGGGGCAAGGACAGAAGAGGCAGCTTTCACTGTGCCCCCCAAACCCAGCTCCACCCCAAAGCGCCAGCCCCTCTTCAGTTGTCCAGAGGGACCCTGGGAATGTCAGGCTGATACGTGTAATCAGAGTAGATGAGGATGTAAATACTGCACGTTGGGGAACCAGATCTTTAGGATCTAGGGGCTAAAATGAGAAAAAGATTCACATTTAGGAGCTTTGATTTAAAATGATAGGCTCTCAAAATGGAAACATCTAGTTAAAGAAAACTTGAACCAGCGGGATTTGTAAGACTCAGCACCAGGAAAATGGAAGTGATTTAAAATGCCCATGAAAATGCTGTTCAGATTTCCCAGCAGCTTTCATAGAGGTGGAGTGGGAAGGCTTCAGAACACCCTCACCTTCGAACACTCATAATACCTCCACTCTCATAATACCTCCACTAGAACACCTAAGACACTTGAATTTAAATATAATTACATTCTTTCATATGGACAAGTAACATTTGCCTAAAACGTCAGTAAATGCATTTTTTAGAAAGCTTTGCTATTATTATTAATCAGAAATATAAAATGTAAACTGTGTGTTTGCTATGTGTACCCAGCATGCAGTCAAGCCCCAGTATTTCCTACTGGACTGCCTCCCTGACCCTTCCTGTAGAGAATTC